CACCCACACCCATAAAATGACAATGTATTGTTTATTTGTTCATTTGTATTTATTCACATTTTTTTTTCTTGAACAAATAAATGTTTATTTTTCAGGTTATTGGCTCTACATTTTCTCTGATGCCAAACCCATTACTGAATGTACACTCTTATCAAAAAGAAACCACCCTTTTGTTTATTCCCAGACATAAAAACAGCCTTTAGGTACACGCTATTCATTTTTCAAAATATCAAATTTATCAGTATTTAATTTGTCTACTCTTTACTTTTGCGCACCTACTACCCAGTTAGCAAAATTTGTCTGCCCCACTTGTGGGCCACATCCTTGGTTTGTTCTGGCCCAATATACAGCTGGGTCCTTGGCCCAAATCTGGCCCACACACTGTAAAGTGTGTAGAACTAAAGGATATGGCCCAAATATGGCCCCAGTCTGGCCCAACTACACTGTTGGTCCACAACATTCACACCAGAATTGCCTCACATATCTAGACACAAGGCAAAACGGTATGAAACTGTCCAGGATCTGGCCCTGTTCTGGCCCACATGCCTAACATCTACTCGGTAGTCCAACCAACACTCAGACAGGAAAGCCAGAATTGGCCCAAAACTGTCTGCTATCTTGGTAGCCATCCTGCTCAGTCGGAATAGAACACGTTCATGTAAACACCTCAATCGGAATAAGCTAGTCCGATTGAAGCCATTCGGAATACAATTTCTATCCGATTGAACAAGGTGGGTAATCCTGTAAATAATCCGATAAAGAATAACAACCATGTAAAGGCCTGTATCCGATTACATTCCCAATCGAAACATATAAGTGCGTTCTGAGCATGTGTGTCACGTCATAGTGAAAGTTTATAACGTTCAACATGGCGGGAGCAGAAACTGGTCTGCAGAGGAGACGAAGTTTATGCTCTGATCTTTAAAAGACGGCGGTGGGACGGACATCCAGCTTATGTGTCTAAGAACACAACGTCTTTCTCTCGTCCTACAACCAACTTTTAAGACTGAACTTTGGTGGTGTGGAAAAATATCCCAGCAGATTTCTTTGGAAAGGTGAGAGCATTATGCTATGACTGAATGGTATGAACTACAGCTGGATAAATGAGCCTGTTTGTGTAGATTTCAGGGGGCTTTGAATAATGTAATCCATCTGTTTTGCTTCGACAGCAAAAATGCAATGCTTTTACAAAGCGACAAACATTACAGGTTCAGCCAATTGCGTACAGCATATTGATATGCAGTCATGTTAGTTATATGGAGCTATAACAAAAAGGGTTATAGGAGAATTTGACATGTTTTAATGTTGTGATAGTTTCTGCTAAGGCAAATAAGATCAGACAAAGGGTCCAAGCATGCAGGGGGTTCAAAATTACTACTGACTCCAGAACCAGAGTTGGGAAACACTGGATTACATTATTTCAATCTACAGAGTAGTACTGTATATAAAGCAACAAAGATATTTTATTCAATGATCAAGTCCAAACTTTTGAGTGGTAGTGTTCAGTGCTCTTTCTCTCCCCTCTACATTAGTACTGTGACCTTAAAGCTCCATAGCGCAAAGATCACTGTAAAACGGTAGAGCAGATATCACTTTGATCACTGTAATTTATAAGGTCATCTCAGCTTTACAATACTTTTGGGGCACTGGGCCATGCTGCCTGTCGTCCTCTGTGGTGACTGTACCTGCTGACGGAGCGGGACGGGGCAGACGGGACAGCAATGAAGTCAATTGAGATTCTGCATGCAGAGCGGAGCGAACAAACAGGAAGAGTAATCTGTCTCGCCAGTGCACTGAAACAAACGGGTCAATAACAGCATAAGTAATAAGAATGACCAGATGCATGTTGTTCACACCAATGAAGGCAGAGTAGGCCAGTTCTCTGAAAGGCAGATATATCCAATATGTACATGTCCTTCCTACACGACCAACATCGCTTGTCAGAGTTCGGCAGTATTTTGCTTTTTAAAATTGAACTTTTTTGTTGTTTGCTAAAATTTTGGGTACTTTTTGCAACTTCCAGCTTGCTCACGTTGAAGTCTCTCCATTGTTGGAGCTGGTTTTACCTATGATTTGATAGTTTTCTGTCCCAAACTGGGAAAAAAATGCATAATTTAATGTATGTAGGCAAGGTCAGGATTAAGGAGAAACACTGTTCACAGTGGTGGTAATAGGCGCCAGACATTTGAAGTGTTTAAGGCTTGTAAAAGGTACCTCACATAAAGCTATTGCAGGAATGGTTATGAATACACTGCCTGAGACATTGTTTTTCCGCTAGCTTTAGTACATTCAGGATATTGTTTAACAAAATAGTCCCCAAAGAAAGTTTATTTTCAAATGTTTCACGGTTTTACTATTAAAAACATTACATACAATAACTCATTGTGATAAAACAGCTGATTCTGAGACCCTCCATGATACTGCGCTTCACTCAGAAATATGCTATGGTATGGAAAGAAAATGCATTATGATTTCTGAATCATTTTTGGAATCATATCATGCTGATGAGAGTTGGTCAGTAGTGGTCAGTGTTTAGCCAAAATTCTCCTCTTTTGGTGTAAACTGTGGTTCTAATCTTCGGAAGCGCTTAAGTAAGCAGCACCCTCACCTTTCACAAGGCTGATATGGTTTGTCCAGGCCACACAGCTTTAGCAAATCTGTGTTCCACTACAGTCTCTCTGTGTCTCTCTGAGTCAGAGAAACTTACAGAGAGAACGCTAACAACCAAGTGAAAGCTAACAGCTAGCTGATCTTTCTGCCTGACGTTCGTCTGTTCGTTTGACCATCCGATCACTGGTTTGTTTGTCCCTCCATCCGTTAATCTGTTCATTCATACATTTGCTCAGTCGCTGGCTCATTCAGCCAGCATGGCAGCATTCCCTGGATACAGATCCAGGAGTAAAGTGAATCAGAACCTTTGTTAAGATGTTGCCAGATAAAAGCTGGATAAAGTTTTAGTGAGAGGAGACAGCGAGGTCTACATCACATTTTACTCATTTAACAATTCACATTGGTAGGCTGGGAGACAGAGGGATGACAGCCCTCTATTGTAGTGAAAGAACAAACCAATGCAATGGATACAATAAAAAAATACAATGAAAAATAAAATCAAAATCCTCCAAAATGCTAACTTTACTGGAGAAGGCAAAAACATTCTCTACTTTTAATTTACGTTGATGTAAAGAGATTTTATTCCAAGCAGTTTTGGAGCATTTTAGAAAGTTGTTTTAATAGAAAATTACCTTAAATTACCATAACCATAACAATTTTATTGTGAAATTAAGCATTTGTATACAATGTAGGTCAAAAAACTACTTTAGAGTTCAATGACTTAAAGAACATCTGCTAGGCTCTATTTTAGTCTTTTTGATCTTTTCTCAGTCTGAAATGAAATGCTAAAGCTGTAAAGTCAGAGATGTGACCAATCATGAAGCAGTACAGATGCTCTCACCAACATACATAACATTAGTTTTGTGTTTAACATTAAGCTAAACACAAAAAAGAAACTGGAAATTAAATGTTGATGGCTACAATGGAGCTGAGTGAAAACTCGGTTCCTCACAAATAGTCTTGAGAAATAAAAGTATTTGAAAAAAGTACAAATCCATCAAACGTTTATGTGAATATGTGTTCTAAATGGAACTACTGACCACTGCAAACCTCGGTACCTGATCTGACTGAAGAATGTTTAAATGCTAGTTGCTGGTAATGTTACTGATGTAGCATAACTACCCCAGAGTTTTTGTATGCCAGAATCTCATTTGCAGTGGCATAGATTTCTGAAAGATAATCTACACTCTTAAAAAAGACGGTTCTTCGTGAAAAAAACACCCCATGAAAACCTTTTTTCATATTTAAACACATGGACATTTAATCTTCATTTTAACAGTACTGACAGATGGAGGTAATGCAACTAAACCAATAAAACTGAAGAAATGTGTTTGAAAAATAATTTGTAAAATATTGTAAAAAGACCAGCATAAACCAGCTAAACCAGACAAACCATCTTAAACCGTTATAAACCAGCAGGTTTAAACTGGTTTATACCAGTTTATACTGGTTTAAGATGGTGTAAGCTGGTTTAAGATGGTTTAAACTGGATTAAGCCAGTTTACACTGGTTTAAGATGGTTTATACCGGTATAAGCTGGTTTATACTGGTTTAAGCTGGTTTAAACTGGTTAATGTCGTTTTTTACTGGTTTAGGCTGGTTTAAACTGGTTTATACTGTTTAGGCTGGTTTATACCAGTTTATACTGGTTTAAGATGGTGTAAGCTGGTTTAAGATGGTTTAAACTGGATTAAGCCAGTTTACGCTGGTTTAAGATGGTTTAAACTGGTTTATGCTGGTTTAAGCCTGTTTAAGCCAGTTTATACCGGTTTAGGATGGTTTAAACTGGTTTAAGCTGTTTTTTACTGGTTTATGCTGGTTTAAACTGGTTTATACTGGTTTAAGACGGTTTAAGCTGATTTAAGCTGGCTTATACTGGCTTATACCAGCATACACTATCTTGAGCCAGCATAATAAGCCATCTTAAATCAGCTAAACCAGCCTACACTATCATAAACCATCTTAAACCAGCATAAACTAGCATAAACTAGCACTAGACCTGTATAAACCAGCTAAACAGCATGAACTAGTTTAGACCAGCATAGACTTAATGGTGGTCTGATCTTTTTTTTTCAGCAAGGAAGTTACGTGAGGGATGTGGGGGAATGAGTGTGCAGTATGTAGGGGAACGAGTGTGCAGTATGTAGGGGAACGAGTGTGCAGTATGTAGGGGAACGAGTGTGCAGTATGCAGGGGAATGAGTGTGCAGTATGTATGGGGAACGAGTGTGCAGTATGCAGGGGAATGAGTGTGCAGTATGCAGGGGAACGAGTGTGCAGTATGCAGGGGAACGAGTGTGCAGTATGTAGGGGAACGAGTGTGCAGTATGCAGGGGAATGAGTGTGCAGTATGTATGGGGAACGAGTGTGCAGTATGCAGGGGAATGAGTGTGCAGTATGTAGGGGAACGAATGTGCAGTATGTAGTGGTTTGGTTCGGTTTGGGACGCAGCAGGTCAGTCATATTTCCCGCGGTCCGTTTGGCAGCCCACGTGGTCAACACGTCACCACGACGAGATCAGCATCTTGGACAGCGGCGCCTGTCAAGAAAAAAAGAGAGAAAGGAAGGAAGGAAAAAAACGACGGAAAACGGCGGAATTTCCCTCGTTTGGATTAGAAGAGGAGGAGAAGGGTGACGATGAGCGTGAAGGGGTAGAGATGAGCGGCTGTAAACGCGCCCTCGAACAGCGCGGCTTCGGTCGGTGAGACGTCCATTTCGACGAAGGAAGGCGAGAGAGAGAGAGAGAGAGAGAGACGCGGTATTATTATTATCAGCGCTGTTATTAGTGCAGTCATTACAGCTCGTCTCTGCTTTTCACATCTGACCAGCCTGTGTGTGTGTGTGTGTGTGCGCGTGCGTGTGCGCGCGCTCTCCACTCTCTCTCTCTCTCTCTGATGATCTGTTTTTTATTCTGATGTCTGCGGGCTCCATCTTTCTTTGAACGTTGCGGGGATCGCTCGGGGACGGTGATGGACACCATCATCATCATCATCATCGCGGAGAGGAGCTGCCGGGATGTTTTTCTCTCTCGTGAGCTCCGTCCACTAGCCTGCTCTCGCGCTGTGTGAAATGCCAGCTGGGCGCGCGCTGAGCTCGGTGGCTATCGGGGCTATCGGACGGGCCTGTGCGTGCGGGAGCCCGGGAGAGGAGGAGGAGGAGAGAAACTCGGCGTGAGAGGAAGAACAGAGGAGGAGAGGAGAGGCGAGAGGGGGAGAGAGGGACTGCGATGCTGAACAATGAGAGCGGAGTGTGCGCGGCTGGGATCGAGCCTCAGCCATGGCGCTGGGGGGATGCTGCTCTGAGGCGTCCTGCGCGCGCGGGCTCGCGGAGAGCTGGGGGTGCTTTTGATCTCCCCTTCTAGGCTAAAAACAGAAAGACAGAAACCCGGGGCGATGCACGCGCCGACGCCTGTTTACAGCGCGAGCACCTAACAGGAGAAAAAGAAAACGCTGCTGCTGCTGGACGGACTAAAGAGGGGGGGGGGTTTAAAAGAGGAGGCCGAATCGGGGGAGGGGGGGGGGTCGCTCATCCGCACTAACGCGCGCACATACCGTCAGACAGATAGAGCAGAGAGCATTTACTGAAACCTGAGTGAGATCAAGGCTCTGAGTGAGATGTAGGCTGACTGCTAGAATTAAATAGGCTAGCAAGAAGGGAGACAACTCAACACTATCACCACTAATAACAACAATAATAACAATAATAACCCAAAAATAATACTGATATCAGGCCTGGAGAGGAGCACCACCAACAACAACACCACTAACAGGACAGCAGACAATAATATTAATAATACTAGAAATAACAGGCCTAAGAAAATAAGCCATCAACGTTTATTACAGCAAACACGGAGACATCACTGATATACAGCAATATTAATGATAGTACAACAATAATCAACAACAACGACAATAGCAGGTGTGTTATCAATAACAGGACAACAACAGTAATAAACAGCAGCAGCGGTCCGGTCCTTCGCTCCGCTCCTTCCTCGGTTCCCCTCCGCCCCCGCATGTAGAGAACCATGTTTAAGAACCGGCTCCGCATGTTCTTCGATGAACTCAAGGTGCTGCTGTTCATGCGATCCGGTTCCCGCCAGGCCGAGGCGCGCGCGCAGCCCATGAGGGGCGGCGTGGGGGTGGGTGTGGTAGGGGGGGGCTGCGGGTGTCCCGCCTTCATCCGCTGCGCCGCGCGGGACCACCACGACGACGCGGAGGAGTACTACGGCAGCGAGCCGCGGCCCAGGAGCCTCGCCTTCGAGGAGAAAGAGGCGCGGCTGCCCGCGGGTCCGGACGCGGTGTCCCTCAGCAGCAGCACGGCCAGCGGAGCGCGCACGCCCCAGTGCAGGATCTGCTTCCAGGGGCCCGAGCAGGTGAGCACGCGCGGGGGAGACTGGAGGGGAGGGGGGTAGTGGGGTTGTTATTGGAATGCCTTGGGTTGGAAATAATGGCCTGCTGCTTTGTGTTGTGAGTCAGACAGACAGTACAGTCCAGTACAGACAATCCAGTACAGCTAGGGTGGGCAGAATGTTGGGAGCTGGCCAAATTTACTATATGTCCAAAAGTATCCAGACAAGCTTTGTAATTGGGGAATTAAGCTACTTTAAGGCGCACCTATTGCTGACTCGGGTGTTCACTTGTGCAATCACAGCTTCATAGAAAAGCATTGCAAAAAGAGCAGGATGCACCGCAGCCGCACAGGTCACCATGGCCAGTGCCAAGCCTTGGAAAAAGGGGGATAAAGTTGCCCAGCTTCGGGCTGTGGAGCAGTGGGACTGTGTTTTCGGAGCTCCATCTGATACCTTTGGGATGAGCTGGAGTGATCCAGAACTGATCATCCAACATCAGTACCTGACCTCATTATGCTCTTGTGGCTAAATGCAATCAAATCCTCACAGCAATGTTCCAACATCTAATGTAAATTCTTTGCAGAAGAGCAGCAAAGCAGGTTATCAATATCCTTGATTTCAGAAGGAATGCTGGATGAGCAGGTGTCTGCGAACTGTTGGACATATAACGTATCTCAGTTCTACTGCCGCCCTCTCATTTCTAGAGAGCAGTGAAGATTTCTGAAGATTTACCTTTTGCATGTTTCACCTCCACCCCATTCAGCTAATCAAGGACTTCTGAAGGCAGTAATAAGCTGGATCAGGTGGGGTCAATTAGGCTAGGAGCTAAAGTCTGCAGGAAAGTAGATCTCCAGGAGCAGTGTTGGTGACCACCACCACTGTAGAGAGACTGCTGTGGCCCTCAGATATCTTTGCAGATGCTACTCCCACCCTCGGGCATATCTGAGGGCATGTTTGCAAACAGTGCCATTGTTTCTTTAGACATACTCATGAGTAGAGTAGATCTACAGACCTGTCTGAGGGCCATAGTAGTGCCTACAGATATTTGGTCCAGCTCCAGGAAGGCTGTCTACTCATGGAGTGTTTGGCCTATCTGACCACCTCCAAAACAGGTCTTCAAAGACGACTGTACCTGTCATTTGACCTGTCCATCTCCATGTATGTCAGAATTTGTCAGGAATAGTAGAGCTGAAGTGATGATGTGAAGAAGAAAAAGCCTTTTCTGTTGCCTTTATTTTGTTTACAACTTAAAGAATTTTCGAATAATTAAATTGTTAAGATGTAAACAAATCCATTCAGAGTGGTTTGATGTGAAATGCTTTGTTCTAGACGAGGTTACAGAGTCAGAATTGTTCACAATGGTGGTGAGGAAAATCACATGTCTGCAGAGTTTAATGCCTCTAAAAGCTTCCTCTCATAGAGTTATTATACTAATTGGTCCTAAATATGTTGCCTGATACCCGAGACATTGTTTTACGCTGAATCTGAGAAAGGTTTAGGCCTGAAACTTATTTAAGTGCATACGTTTACTTGCAGGGTGTTAACAACAGAAATTTGTCTCAAGGTTTTGGTTCTTGTATGTTGCTGTTGAAGAGCAGATGATCTCTTAAGCTAACAATGAAAAGCTTTAAAAAATGGCCTTGGTTACAGTTTTATCGGATTGACCCATCATAAACCCTCCAAAATTCACACGCTGTTAATGAGGCTTTTGAGCATAATGGGCTGGTCATTAAACATGTATGTCTACTCATTAAATCCAGGACACTAGATGTCAGGGGTAAGAGAGTGTGGCCATATGACCATCTTTTTAGTTTTTTTGGACAGGCTTTGTAATTCCTAATATATACTGTTATTGCTGATCACTGGTCATGAACCAAAGAACCAGACTTAAAAGAAACAGCATCTATAAAGAATCTACTGTATTCTTTGTATTCATAGCCTTGATTTTCAGGCAGTATTATCTGGACATTCAATACCATTTAACTGCACTCAGCCCTCCACTTCACCTCTCTACTCTACTGTTGTAAGATTGAACAATTACAGAAAACAAGCAAAAATATGATTTAACTAAATGACAAATTGTACACATTTGTATCAAAATATTCCATTTAGGGTGTGTTATTCATTTCAAATTATATTTATTTTGTATGTGTGTGGCAGGTCACACTGTTAGGATACCATGAGTGTAGTGTTTGTCATGTAATCAAGCTAATATTAGCATAGTCACAAATGCTATGTCACTGGCATTCACAATGAGGCCCGGGTTTCTCAAAAGCATCTTAGCACAAAGACAGTTCTTCAGTGGTAGAGCGAGCATCACACTGAACACTCTCTCTACCAATTAAGGTGATTGTAACACCAAGATCCTGTTGGGAAACTGGGCCGATTAGCAACAACTAGGGATGCATGATGACACTCACATCATATCAGTGTCAGCAGATATTTGCATAAAACTAATATATTGGCCTCGGACAGATAGATTAGACTGATATTTCAAACCAGTATTTATTGATGCATTTATTGTACCCCTAAAGATTTCACATGCACTCACATGCCTGCATTTAATTCATTTTACTGCAGTGATAAAGTCATAGTCTTTATATTTTTTGGTAATGCTGTTCCAGGTAGATGTAGCACCAGTTTCTAGATTTAAAAAAAATGTTATATATCAGCATCTGCCGATATTTACCTAAAAATTGTATATATATGTACAATTATATATATTTATACAATATGTTCTGTCTAATTTAGTTGTGGCCAATTCCCACCCGCTAGCTAGGTCTCCTTGTATTACACAATTCTACCAAACTGGAAGGCTAGCACTTGGACAGAGACACCATTGGACAGCTCAGCTCTCATTGGACAGTTGAGCATTTGACAGTTAGAGAGAGAACATTAACTGCCGATTCTGTTATGTTATGTTTGTGTATCCAGCATTACGCTGAGTGATGGGAGGGCCATCCTACCCACCCAGAGAGAATGAGGCCAATTATACTGTCATGTACTCACAGCCATGGATGGCTGTGGCATTGATGTGGATCAAACTCTCAATCATCCAATAGTAGCGATGGTTGCGCCACATTTGGGAGTAGCATTTTGAACCAGAAACATTAGGTAGCGGCTCTAAACAAATATCATGGCGAATCAGTTTGAATCACTTTGACAAAACTGAGTTGTGTTGTACAATTTCTCATTATGTCGAATAGGAAATTGTAAAGCTTGTCCAATCTAGCAAAAGCTGCTAAGACTTTTGTGTTCAATTCAGGTCAATTCAGTTCAGTCCAAAAGTCGACTGTAGGTTGGATTCTAGTAAAAGTCGAAGTTTTTTCATATGTCCAGACATTCATTTCCACTAAGAAAACTTAAACCATATTTTATTTGTCATGAAGGCTGGACTCAAGACTATTGCATTCACATCTACTGTATGTGGGTTGACTTGCATTCCCTCTAGTTGCTCTGCCAATCAATGGAATGTGAGCTTGGTCTGCAGCCAAGCTGTGAAATAACAGATGCAGCAAAGGCTGCGAAGCTTAAGCCACTGCAGGTTAGCTATGGACATCAGCTAATCAGTGTTGATGTTGTATCCAGAACACTTTTGATTATTTTGTAGTTGTCATCTCAAAGCAAATGAGATCTGCACTTTACTTAAACCCTGTGATGTAACATTGACTTAGCCCTGCTGTAAACATGTCATGGAAAATGGCATATGGTGTCACGTGTTGTCATGCCAGATTATGTTCAGTAAGAAAACAGTGTCATGTTACCATTGTTTTTAATTGTATGACAAATGTCAAGCTGCAAACTGTGAGTATTAGAGCTCAAAACTCTGTCAAAACCTGAGGAAAAACCCACCTCAATGATAATGTTAACTTCTGCTAGCGTCTCTAGGGGGTTTACTAGTAGCGTTAAGCTAATGCTGATTCACACAAACATTTTCTCACAAGGCTGGAGTTTGCTTCTTATTGGAATTTTCAGTTCCACTTTAAACAGTGCAGCAGACACATTCTCGTGCATTTAGGCACCAGAATGTAACTTTTGCAGCGTTTAACATAGGATGGAAAATTTGAAAAAGGCAGTTCTAGTATTGGCCAATACCCACTGGTTTTACTACACACTTCAGTAACCTAAAAATAAATTTTTATTTAGCATTATAGTCCATGTAGTTACTAAAAAATAAGCCTTAGTATGTAATAAGTTTGGGATTTTACTGATATTTGAAGCTTCTAAAAGACAATCCATGTTTTATTTAAACCTTGTGACAGACATATTATCATATATTTTACCTTGTAGCAGTTTCACAGTGACTCAGTAGAGAGGCTAGTATAGAGCCACTGCTGCTGCGTTCCGTTTTTAATAACCCATTGATGAGGCCTTCACTGGTATTCACAGTCAGTGATGTATCTATGACTTGCAGAAGGCTTAGAGTGACGTTTTTTTCTCAGGAAAGTTGTCCCACTTATTGGAAATCAAAACGTGATTGGTTGATTCCTCTGTCACTTTGTAATTATGCTGATGGTGTGTGTTAGGACTCCTCTTCAGGTCTTGAAGTCCTGACCAATAGGAGAGCTCGCCTTGCTATATCTACCTAGATACCATGGAGAAACACAATTCCTGACAGGCCAATTTTCCACTTGTTGTTTGAAGAATTTCTCTGAAGGCCTAGAAGGCTCTGAGGGTTCCCTTTGGACTAACTAGAATGTACAGCAAGTTAGCATGTGGCATAAGCTGTCATGACATCAAACATTACAACACTGTCATCACAACTACTGGTAATGATAGCATAACAATGTTATATTACTGATGAAAATCTGTCATGACAGCATATGCCCTCTTCCATGACATGTTTATGGCATGGTTATGTCAGTGTGATGTAGAAGAGTTCAAATTAAGTGTTACTCGAGATTCCAGTTAGAAAAATATAGAAAATATTACAACAGTTAAGTAGGTTATAGTAGAGAAGCTTCTACAGTATTAGACAGAAAAAGAAATCAGAATAAATAATGAACTCCTTATAAATAAAACAA